AACATTGAGAGTATCGTTGTGGGGATTTGGTGTTGATGACAGACAATGGAGAGTGGTTGTTATAGATTTCACTGAATTACTTACTCAGCAATGTAAGTCTGCTTCATTTGTATACAAGGATCAGCACTTTTGTTTCTATGTTACTTTACATAATTGCACGCTCTACTTTTCACCTGCATTACTACAACTTACTTTACTTTCAATTGTTTCTTTAAAGAGTTATTATGATTAATTTCCATATTTTTGTTCATTCTAATTAGGTGATTAATATCCCACTTCTATATATGACCAGTCTATATGCATAGATGACCTTCTCTTTTGCCCTTTGTTATGTACTGGTATCATCACCCAACCATATGCTGTGATCTTCCCCACCCTTTATAGTCAAACTCTCCATCTTATGCTGTGATCTGCCCCACATATGTAATGACATCCTCACCCTATGCTATGATCACCCTTACATATACAGGACAAGCCATGTGTGTAGCGTTAATAATTCATATATGCGACAGAATCTGTCTGCACGCATTACCCATCATTCCTTGTATTCTGGTTGTCTCTAGGTATTGAACATGATTACGTGGAATGGACGGCACATGAATTCAATGAAAACAATGGCTGTCTACTGGGCAAAAAAGAAGTTTATAGACGCCTAAAAAAATCATCATTTTGTCGAAATGGTTATGGTTATGAAATTAAACAAGCTTCTTCGAAGTGTACTTGTACTAAAGATGACTATGAGTGGTATGTTGGGAGAATGTACATCCATATTCAATTGTGTTCTGTACTGTTGTCTCTATCACCGTTGTCACCTTTTTGTACAGCAGATATATGGATAATATGCAATGTATAATTTATTATAAAGTGAAGACATTATTTTGGCAGAAAATGGCAGTATTTGTTTAATGAAATTATTAATAATAGAAATACATAAACATGCTGATTATCTGTTGACATATAAACATTTCTGACAGTTATTTTTTCATCTGGTTTTGTATTTTTAAAGCGATTATGGTTTTTTCCGTAATACTAATCAAGAGGAGTGTGAAGAAAATCCTTCATTAAAAGGAAAAACTTTAGAAGTGTGTATAGAGGGAGAAGAAGAAGATCTTGTTACAACAGGGTTTGTTATGTTTTCACTTTGATGTTTTATTCGTAACTTTTTCAATTGTCATTGTAAGGGTCAGAGGTCAGAGGTCAGAACTCACATAACAATGAATGTTTTTTTTCATATTGTTAGAAGCCAGTTTTTGAGATTAGCTAAACGCCATTTGGACATTTACCTGATAAGTTAGTAGATATTAACAATCTATATGTATATGTCATGCTTGGACATGTTTAATAACAGCACAGTAGATTGTGCAATTAAAATGACGGTGTCACTTTAAACATTCATTTTATTCAATTCATCATTACTATAAGTCAGCACAATAACTGATCTGTTGAGAAATCCCAAATTATGTGTATTTGCGCCTAGGATTAATTTCTGTTCACAGCTATGAATGTCATAGCATTGATTGTATGCCAAATTTATAATCGCTTGTGTGCTCAAAGGAAACAAAGTTGTGGAATCATATTTGAATAATTTACTATCACATAATGGCATCACTGGGAAACTGCATAAACTATTTGAAGTGGAGTTTACTTAAGGTAGCGAGAGGGGAAACACAAGTTATAGTTTGATTGAGATTAGGATTTTCTTTGCCAGTTACTAAGCATAGTTATGGCAATGTATATGTTTTCAGAAAGCTGAGTTATAGCAGAATACGATCATTTATGTTTCGTCTTGATATTTGCTCAAGGGATTAAGTTACGATCGTTCCCGTGAACCTCCTAAACATAGAGTTTTTTTGCGGGATTGGCCTGTTTCTCTGTGTTCCTTTTTTCTATGTTTCTGATCTTTTCACTGTTGCTTTATCAGATAACAATCTTTGAAATTACGTCTCGGAATTTTTATGTGCCCCACAGTTCCGGAGATAAAGTCTGTTGAACTTTATGGACTACATTTTATGATCGTCTCCATGTTCTCAAGGCCGTAACTCAACGTCAACGGCTCACATAAACGTCCATGAGACATCATATTTTAGCCCATTTTGTGGCATTTGTACATCGTTAGCGCAGAAAAAAGCGGTAAAAAATGATGTCTTCAATAGTTATGATAGTCAAAAAATAGTTTCCGTAAAAACGTTTCTTCGAATTTGGCCACAGATAAACAGCTAATTAATGACCAAATGTCTACCATTTCGATCATACTTTGTAAATATTCAAGTATCTGATCTGCGTGGACTGTTACATCATGAAAAATTGGTTGGTTGTTTCTTAAAAAACGTCAAAACTTAGCAGTTTCATCGAAAGTGGGTGCTAAATTGAACAAGATGGCGTACCGCGCAATTAATTTATTCAAGTCCCTTTGCTACATTTGTATGTTCTCTAAACACGAGGCTGGCCATCGTGGCAGCATATATTTACTAACGGGATATACATGCCTTCAAGTACAGATATGTTTACTTTATGCCTATGGAGAGTGTACCATTATCGGATTTGTTATAATCAATTAGCTCCAAGTCAGCACTAGTTAGTTGTTTTTCCTACCGATGAAAACAAAATGTTGGCCATAGTCACAGAGAACCACAAGCAGTCTACTAGAGCACAGTACTCATTTCGCCCAACCTCCCGCCCGCTCCCGCTTTCCAATCGCTTTTTTTCGCTCACTTTTGCGACCGCTTGTTGAATTGGACCGAACAATTTTCGCTTATTTTTGACTGTGCAAACCCGCTCGCCCTTATTTAAAATTCGGACTAACAAACGATTTCAGAGGTTCGCATTTTCTTATAATTGTCTTTCTGGTTTTCATACATGTAGATGTTGAACAACCGTCAAAAGTTCAAATATTTATTGTTTTAACTATCTATAATTATAATTATATGCACGCAATCTGACCCTTTGATCTCGATTTGGCTGGGATTGAATATTTTATTTTAAACAATATTCTGACATGAAATACAAAATGTATTTCAACACAAGTACGGCATGGTTGTCTGCGTTTTCTTTGCTGTTTGTTGAGTCTTCGCAATGTGTTTGTATATCGAAAGAATGTTCACTCTTTTTCGACGCCGGAAAAATATCAGTCGCGGAGTTGCATTTTTGATTCTTGCACTTACAGTAAAAATGGCTGCCCCAGCAATGTCGGATGTTCGTGTTCGCTGAACTTTTGTTGCTACTGTCGATTGGCTCGTCTTCAAACCACTCTGTGGGCTGACTGTAATATGAGCCCAGGTCACTTTCATTTAGATATCTTTTAACGGCGTCAGACATTTTTCGTCATCTTGGAACTCCTTCCCATGATATATTAGTTTATTAAAACACTGAGAAAGGCTTGAATACGATAGCGTAATGTTTGTCTGTGCTTCGATCGTGTAATGGACACTACTTATAGATTACACAGGATATAATAAAGCTGGATGGTCAACAAATCAGTATGCAAATTAAATCCTTTGTCTTCAGTCTGTCACTCAACATGATGTGTAAACGCATGGAGGACGTGTTCACCCACAACTAGATTTCCGGGAATAAACTGAAATTACGCAACAAATGCACTGCGCACTGTAAATTTGGACCAAAGATAAAGAAAGTACACAATACAATGTTTCATTATCCAAATTTTTTTTAAAAATGTTTTTTTTTCTTCTAGTTTTCCCCTCTCGCTACCTTAAACAAAATTGTAACACAGTTAGACTTAGAATTTCCTAAGGAGTGAAGGAATATTTCCTTCACAGCTCTTTTCACTGACATTTAATTCTGTGTATCTTGAATGATCCTATGTTGACTGACTACATTGAGCAAAAGAAACTTTGTTCATTTTTTTGGTGCAGATCTATGTTTAATAATATAGGATTCCAGGCTAGTTCAAAAGTTATGTTTTTTTTTTGAGGATATTTATGTTTGGCTGTTCATATAAACTATTAATCTTATGTTTATCAATAACTTAAGATATGATGATTGCATTTAACAGTGCCTACATTGTTTTTGTTGTAGATATCGTTTGATACCAGGTGATGAGTGTAAAGATGGATATGAACCTCCAAGAAAGTTAACAGATGCAAAAAAAAAATGCCAAGAAGTTGCTAAAGCAGCGGCGCCAAAAGAACTTAGTTCACATCCGCACAGGGTATGTTTGCCATCAGTATTCTTTCTGTAAATGCACTTTAGTTTCATGAGAATCTAATATTAGCAAATATTATGCAAGTTGCAATCTCATCTGATGCAAGTGAAGATTCCATTTCCTTTTTATCGCTTAACCAGTGTATTATATTGTCTGGCCAAGATATATATATATATATATATATATATATATAACTATTTCTGGCCAAGCTCCTTTCCATGTTGCATCCAGATCTTGCAGGATCATGGATAATGACTTGTGTTTCAGGCGGGATCCTTGTGGGTTATGCGCTTATCCTACAAAAAGGTGCTTCAGTGAACACATTTTTGTGAACTTCTTCAAATAGTGCAAATGTACAGTACTTCTTATCTTAATTCATGCCTCCAATACTTTCTTTGATTTAAAATGTTTTTGTTTTTTCTAGTCTTTCTTTAATTTTCATGTGTTTTCAACTGTGTCTTGTGTGTACCTTGAATGATTTTGTTGGAAGTAGGTACACAGACAAGAAATATAGTATACATTAGGCATATTTATATTTACTGAATGTCACTGACCAGTGCAATTAATACATTCTACTAGGAGAAGATTGGGTGTATACTCAATGTAACTTTGCTTGTAGCACATTTTTTGTCTAAAGAAATACATGACATTTTGTAGCAGTGAACATTTCATTGAGATCCATAGTCTTAGTAATTTTAACAAAATTCTTTATTTTGAGGTTATCAAATTGTGTTTTACTGTGTCTCATCCATAATTCTGAACCTGTATTTTTTGTTTTGTTTTTTTTCTCATTAGGGTGGCCATACTGCTGGTATTGTTATCGGTCTCTTATTGCTTATTGTAATTGTAATTGCAGCTGCTGCTTTATTTGTACTTCGAAAAAATAAATATTTCAGGCACAAGTAAGTAACATAATTCAATACAGAATGAGTGGATTGAATACCAAAGTCAACTTTTTAGTCCCTATTCGGATGCAGTCCGAAAACGGGGACTTATGTTTTGACCTCCATGTGTCTGTGTGTGCAGGCGTGCCTGTTTCTTAGAAATGCCTGGACCAATCACAATCAAACTTCACATATACATCATACATTATACATATGCACATCAATTTGTTTCATGATCTGATTCGAGATGACCGAATGGCAGCCATTTTTGTACTGAACATCATCAAAATTAAGCATTTCTCGGCTGTTTACAGATAGATTTTGTTCAAACTTAGATTGGACATTATAGAACCTTAATGCACATCATTCTGTTTTTCAGATAAGATTCAAAATGGCCAACTGGCGGCCAATTTGTTTTAATGAATGGGCTTCTAGAGCCATGTCTCTGACATGCTTTGACCGATTACGTTCAAATTTGTATTATTCATTATACATCATGTCATAGATTTACAGATTTATTGGTTTGACGATCCTATTCAAAGTGGCCGAATGGTGGCCATTTTTGTGCTACAAAAATCATCAAATATCAAGCATTTCTGGCATTTATGGATGGATTTTGTTGTAAATTATAACATACATTAGACATTACGAGTTCCTGATGCACGTCATTTTATTTTTCAGATCGGATTAAAAATGGCTGACTGGCGGCCATTTTGTTTTAATAAATGGGATCTAGAGCCATGTCTGACATGCTTTGACTGATTATGTTCCAATTTTATATATTCATTATA